TTTGTAGGATTCACCTACACCAGGACTTCAGCAAAATCAGTAACTTTAAATACATTAGAAAACATTTATAATGCTATAAGCTTCTACTTTAAAAGTAAATAGAAAGAAAAGAAAAAATCACAATAAAAGCAAAAATCAAAGAAACAGAAAATGGGATAAAACCTCATGAATCCAACTGATAAACCTCTAGCTAGACTAATGAAGGAGGAAGCACAGGTGCAGGTGCAGGCACGCTCGCGCACACACACACACACACACACACACACACACAATCACCAATAACCAGGAAAAAAAAGTACTTCCCTACAGATTCTGTAGACATTAATAAAATAAGCATAAACAAATTACCAAAACTGACACAAGAATGAGTAGATAATTTAAGTAGTTCTCTATTTTAAAATAGAGAATTTATAATTAAAAACCATAAAATATCTGATCCCCAGCATCACCAAACAAATAAACAAACAACATAAAGTAGGGCTTGGTGGTAGAGCATGTGTTTAACATAGGTGACATCCTGAGAATGATCTCCAGTAGCTCACACAAATGAGCAAACACAACACTACAGGCCCAGATAGCTTCCCTGCTGAATTTTAAGACACTCCAGAAAGAATTAACATCAATATTCTACAAACTATTTCAAAAAATAAGACATAAAGGAAACATCCCTGCTCCCTTTAAGAGGCCAACACAAGCCTGACACCAAAACCAAATAAAAAATTAAGAAAACTTCAAACAAGCCCCAACATCTCCACCAAAAACAAAACAAAACTTTTTTACTAGTGCTCACGATTGAACCCAGGGCCTCATTCATGCTAGGTAACCACTCTAACACTGAGATGCATGCCCAGCTCAAAACAAAACTTTTTGAACTGGCATTTCAAAACAACAGAGGATGACCACTGCTAATCTAAAAATTCAAAATAAAAAATACTCCAAAATCTGAAACTTGAGTACCAACATTAAATTATAAACAGAAACTTCAACATCCAGCCTCATGTGACAGGTTATAATCAAACAGCAGGTGCACTAAAAATATTGTATAAAATTATCTTTAGGCTGTATGTATAACGTATATATGAAAATAAATGAAGTTTGTGTTTAGGCTAGGATGTCAACCCTAAAACAGCTCATTTCTTACAAATATTCCAAAACCCCCAAACATCTGGATTTGGGGAGGTAACACAGGATCTCCCTATGTAGTTCAGGCTGGCCTCAGCAATCCTCCTGCCTCAGTCTCCCAAGGGCTGGGTTTACCGGCAAAAACACCCAAAACTGAAATGCTTTTAGCCAGGCATGGTGGTGCATGCCTATAATCCCAGCACTCGGGAGGCTGAGGCAGGGTCGTTGTGGGTTTGAGACCATCCTGGGCTACAAAGTGAGCTCAACACCAGCCTGAACTGCATAGTAAGACTCTGTTTCAAAAAGACCAAAAAACAAACGAACAAAAAAAAAGAAATGCTTTTGACTTCAAGCATTTTAGATAAGGGATACTCAACTTGTCTTTAATGTTCAACATCATCAGTAATCCAGGAAATACACATTAAAATAAAAATGATGCACCAGTGAAAAGCCTGGGAAAATGGCTAAAAGTATCCAGTTGCATTGGTGCAGGTCTATAACCTTGACATACTGGGAGGCTAAGGCAGGAGGATTCCAAGTTTTAGCACAGTATGGGCAACTTGCAAGATCTTGTCTTTAAAAAAGAAAAGGGGGGGGCTAGCTATGGGGATTTTTGGGAAAATTTTTAAAAAGGCTACAAGTACATATGCTTACAACAATAAACGTAGGCATGAATGTAGAACTGAAACTATCATCATGTGCAGGGAAGGACAGAGTGTTGTAGGAGTGTGAAACAACCACTGTGGAAAACAGCTTTCAGTTCATCATAAACTTAACATGCCTTTACCATAAAACTCAGTAAGTCTACTTTGTATTACATGGCCCAGCATTTACTCCTAAGAAAGAAAACGTAAGCACACACACGTTTAAATCAATGTTTATAGATGACTTGTTCTTAACATCCTAAATCTGAAAATAACCCACATGTTCTTTAAAAAGTGAATGGGTAAACAAATTTTGGTATTCTCATACAACAGAATTGGAAATACAGAGGAAATACTACAGATACATGCCACAATAGGGAAGGAGTATAGATCAATGGCAGCATTTACATTTTGCGTACACAGGCCTGGGTTTCATCCCTGGCACATACACGCTCACACGCGCACACACACACAAACATGGAAGAATTCTAAAAACATATGCTGCTGGGCACAGTGGCGCACACCTGTAATCCCAGCACTCGGGAGACTGAGGCAGGAGGATCGCTTTGAGTCTGAGGCCAGCCTGGGCTACAAAGCTGAGTTCAAGGATAGCCTGAACAGCATAGTGAAACCCTGTCTCAAAAAGACAAAAATAAAAGCAAATGCTGAATAAGAAAAGGCAGGCAAAAAAGAGAAGGCAGGTACTGCATGAATATTACTCCGTATGGCAGAGTAATACAAACAGACTGAGTAAGTGTCAGGGCCCGAGGTGGGAATTGACTGGACTATGAAGAAATCTGAGGGTGACAGAAATGTTCTAATTCTTGATTAGTGTAAGCAGTTACACAGATGCATATGTATTCCCAATCTCAAACTAAGGCCAGGCTTAATGGCACACACCCATAATCCTCAGGAAGCTGAGGCAAAGGGATCAGGAGTTCAAAATCAACCTGGGCTACTACATATGGAGCACAAGGCCACTCTAGACTATATGGTGAGACCCTGACTCAAAAACAAAAAACTTCAAACTACATTTAATACAAGTATGGTACTTAGTAATCAGAAAGTTATAAACCTATCTATCTCATACATCACTCACAAAAAGTAATTTGGGTTAAAGATAAACATAAAAAGCAAAACTAACATGGTAAAATGCCTATAATCCCAGGACTTAGGAGGCTGAGGCAGAAGGATCGCTGAGAGCTTGAGGCCAACTTGGGCTACACAGTGAGTTCAAGGCTGCCCTGAACTATACATAGCAAGATCCTGTCTCAAAAAACAAACACTAAAAACCAAAATCAAAAACTAAAAATACATTAAAAGAAAAATATGGTCAGGTTTGGTGGTGCACACCTGCAATCTTAGCACTTGGGAGGCTGAGGCAGGAGGATCATTGCAAGTTTGAGACCAGCCTGGGCTACAAAGTGAGCTCAAGGCCAGCCAGAACTGTATAGGGAGACCCTGTCTCAAAAAGACCAAAAAAAAAAAAAAAGAAAGAAAAGAAAAATATGAGGGTATGTTTATGATTCTGGAGAAAGATAAGCCTTATTTAACAAGACATTAAAGCAAATCCTATAAATAAAGGGAAGAATATATTGCATTTATCAAAATTAAAATTTTCTAGACCATAAAACTTAGACAAGAACCTAACTGGGAGATACACTTGAAATTACTAATTAGAATCCAGAATTCAAACGAAACACAAAACCAAAAAGGGAGCTCTCTTAAACTCCTTATGTACAATATGCACCCCAAATGGCAGGAGGAACAGGAAGATGCATGAAGAAATCAAGTTGGTAAAATAAACTGTATCTGCACCAACGCCCCACAATAAATGTGATTATTATGTATTGCAAACATGTACTAATAAAAACAAAAATTAAAAAAGACAAAAAAATCAAATGGATGACAAATACATAAAGATGATGACCCTCACTAGCAATCCAGCAAGTAGAATGACGTTTTTCACTCAAAAGATTGGTGTTTAATAATATCAAATGGTGCTAAGCATATATGAAATAATAGGTACTACAAAGGAAATACTGATACAAATCCTTTAATGTAACTATAGACTTTTGAGACTAAAATAGTGAATATCCACTCATTTTATATCAGCAATTCTCGTTTTACATCCTAAAGAAATGTTCATGCTCCAGGTATGGTGGTACATGCCTGTAATTCCAGCACTATGGGTGCTGAGGCAGGAGGATCACACGTTCATACCCAGGCTGGGTTACTTAGTGATTTAGTGAGACTCTGCCTAAAAAGAAAAAAAGCACTGGGGATGTAACTCAGTGCGAAGATCTGAGTTCAATCTCCAGCACTACAAAAACAAAAGCAAAACAAACAAAAAAGTGTAAGAACAACCCCACATATCCACATAAGAACGCATGAACAAAGATAACCACTAAAGAAACATTTCAAGAACTAAAAAGTTGGTAATAACTTAAATACTAAAGAGAAATGGCTAAATAAACTAGGATATATGTATTATATTATAGATGAAGTTAAAAGAAATAAAAGACTTCTATATGTACTAACATGGAATGGTCTCCAAGACTATAGCTGACAGATTAATGATACAGAATATATATGTATAGAAATAAAAAATGCTTATATGTAATAACTGCATACACAAATTATGTACATATGTAAATACATATAAAAGGATTTGCAAAGGTACATATGAAAGCAGCTCTGATGAGATGAAGGGGACAAGATTTGGAAAAGGCTACGATTAGGGTTCTTGGTCAAACTTTCTCAAGGAGAATGTATCATTGTATTATTTGTTTAAGTACTGTACAAATTTATGTTTTAAAAACCTGCTGATTTTAGACGGGTTTACAACTGTTGCTTAAGGAACCTCCTTCCATGGCCATTGCATGACTGCTGCCCTCTGCTGTAAGGATCTCCTCAAAGAACAGTCTGAGAAGCCCCTGCTACCTTTGGTCTAGAATACCATAACAGTTTATAATAAACAGCAACACTTTTTTAAGTTTCTCTCCATATTACCTTCCAGTCTTTCTTAAGTGCTCCTCAGTTAAGATGCCCTTGATTCCATTAACCTGTTTAAATTTCTGCATAGTAACTGTCAGTATCTGAACTATTTATTCAACTTGTTAAATTTATACTCTAGTTCCCACTAGAATGGGAATGACAATTTTGAACTCATATGCTTTGAACTAAGCCGTTTAGAGTTTTTTACATTACAGAAGACACATTTTATTTACTTACCTTAGTTGGAAAAGGAAATTTGGAAGGTTCTGTTTTGCAAGGTGTATGAATAGCCGTTAGAGGGGGAGGCCATGAGTGCGTCATCTCCTGAAATGTAATTATTACAGTTTGTTTTCAACCAGGTCAAGGATTAAAAACTATACAGCTAAAAACCAGATTTGTACTTATAAATACTGGTTTCTTGATTGCTCCTCCGAAATTATTTTTAGTAAGTAAGTATTAATAAAGCACAACTGGGTGCAAGGCACTATGGGGCTGGTAATAAAGGAAGGTAAATAATAAATACTCCCTGGCTTCTAGGAGTTTACACTTAGGATGATGAAATCTGCTAATAATGACAATGACCAGCCAGTAATCAAATACAAGGCACATAATAAAACACTACTGAGGACAGTTTGCCGGGGGGGTCAGGGGAAAGGGATAAGGAAACCGCTAGCATTTACCATGTACCCTCAATGGACTGGACAGTGTGCTCAGTGTTTTACACGTCTGTTGCTCATTTAGTACTCAGATGCCATTATGACACAGATACCATTATTATCCTAGCTCTATTTATTCAATAATTTATTCAAAATTACACAATTAGTAAATAATGGACACAAAATTTTATCCTAGCAATACTGACTATAGAGCACATGTGCTAACAGAAAAATTTGGCCAGGGAAGGAAATCAGAAGGGAGACTTCAAAAGTGCATGAGGAAGGAAACAGACAAGCAAGATGTTAACTACAATTTAATTTCATGCTTTCTAATCATGCCAAATATGGCCAAATGGGGTTTAGATAAGATCACTGTATGGATCTGGGGATACAGCTCAGTGGCACAGCGCCTGCCTAGCAAGCACGAGGTCTTGAGTTCACCTCCCAGTACAAAACCAAAAAAGAAAAAGAAAAAGAAAAAAAAAACCACTATGTCAGAGTAGCAGCAGAGAAAGAGGCATGAGACTTAGAATAAGGAGGAACTATTCTACGTCTGACATTTACTTCACAATAAGCCATCAAGTAAATCAAAGATGCTACAATGCCTAGGAATTTATCCTACAGCGATAACTACAATTCTGTGAAGATATACATTTCAGGGGCTCACATTTTAAAAAATGGAAATAACCCAGGTATCTAAACTGATTAAATAAATTAGCAGACATCCATACAATAGAACGTCAAGCAGACATTAAAATGAGAAATTCAACTTCTAAAATGAAATGATGTCCACAGTGTACTGTTAGGTGGCAATCACAAGTCTTAATCTATCTACTAAATGTTTATATATGAAAATGTCTCTGAGGGGCTGGGGATTTAGCTCAGGAGCGCAGCGCCTGCCTGGCAAGCGCAAGGTCGTGAGTTCGATTCCTGGTACTGGGGGGGGAGGGATTGTCTCTGAGAGGACAATTAACAGTGGATCCCTTTGGGCACTACAACAACAGAAAGAAAAGACCAGGGCACTTGATATAGTATATACTAGGACTTCTTAAAAAAGCCACATGCACATAAACTGTTCTTTACCCTCTTACAACACTCTTAATATTTCCTACATCCAGGTCAAAAACTTCTACTCCACGTGTACAGCTATCATTATTAGCACCACATCTCCAGGGCTCAGCACATAATAATTAGCATGCTTTGAACTAGTAAATCTATTTTTTTCAATAAAACATTCATTGAAATTTTTTCTTACATTCATAATGGGGTTCTAGAAACTGTATGACTACAAATCATGAAAATAAAAATAAGAAAACCTGAAGGGAATATGGGTCTGAAGTTTCTTACACACTGCACATAGGGAAAAGGAAAAGAAACTTATGTACCCCAGGCTTTGGCATTGACATCTTCCATCTCAAATAATAAAATACTCTCTCCCATACTCTCTCTGAAAATCTATTTTAATTCCCTATCATCAAGTGACTGAGCATCTAAAGTACTCAAGGCTGTGTGCCAAGCTTTACATATATCAAATATGAAATAAATGGTCAGCAATATCAAACAGATAATTAAATGCAAGAAAATCTTCCAGGTACTAAAATTCCATGCATTGCTGAGGATTTAGAAGGAAAAATATAATGCTACCTTGGGTTTTATATACACAACACCTAAAAAAATGTTACAATTTAAAGGAAATAGTTACCACTGTGATCTAACATAGGAAGAAGAAGGTTTGCATTGGGATTCTAAGGAAAAAGGAAACTCTATTACTGAAAAGTAAGGGAAAACACCCAAGCAAGTTTACTTTATGGAAATATAAGAAGCCAGGTTGCCAGGCATGGTGGCATGAGCCTGTAATCAGCACTTGGGAGGCTAAGGCAGGAGGACTGCTGCAAGTTTGAGGTCAGCTTGGGTGACATAGTGAGTTTAAGGCCAGGCTGAACTGTATAGCAAAACCCTGAGTCAAAAAAAAAAGGAGAAAAACAGTAAGCCAGACAAGGCGGTGCATGCCTGTGATTCCAGCAGTCTGGCAGGCTGGGACACGAGAATTGCAAGTTCAAGCCCAGACTGGTCAATTTAGAATTTAGTATTTAGCAAGACCTTGTCTTGAAATAAAAAAAAGGGACTGAATCTGTAGCTCAGTGTGAAGGTTGTGGGTTCAATTCCCAGTACCAAAAAGCAATTCAGAAAAGTGCTCAATCAGTAGTAGGAGAGGCTAATATTGGTCCGTGGAGGGTCTAGAATGTTAAATTTGGACTCTCCTCTTTCTAGGGATCTTAGCCACTAAAAATTTTAAGAGAAAAAAAATTAAGTGATGAAGACCAGGGACTAAGAATATAGAAGCAATGCAGAAGACAGATGAAGAGACTTTAAAGGCAGAAAGACTCAAAACTATTAAAGCTCAAGACAGCAGAAATACAAAGGAATAGATACATATTCAATGAAATTTCAAAATCTACACCTAGTTTTATGATTAAATAGAATATAAGAGGATGAAGTCAAGAGATGAGGATTCTATACAAGCAAGGGAGAATGGTGGTACTACTAATAAAGGAAGTCTGACAAGTATGACTTTATATACGTTGAGTCTGAAAGCAAACAAAAATTCAAATGGAAACCCAGGTAAGAAGCAATTCAGAGAGATAAACAAAAACCCAACGAAGACAGGCGTGGTGGCACATGTCTGTAATCCCAGCACTCAGGAGGCTGAGGCAGGAGGATCACTGCAAGTTCAAGGCCAGCCTGTGCTACAAAATGAGTTCAAGACCAGCCTGAACTACAAAGTGAGACCCTGTCTCAAAAAGACAAAACTAAAAAACCAAAGGAGTCAAGGCAGGAGAAAGACTGATAGCTGTTTAACAGATTAAGCCAAGCAGGGTAGAAAAGGTAAATTAAAGTCCAGACAAAAGAGACAAGCAGAATATACCCATACTTTAAAGAGAGGTCATATGGCTTGCAAAAAGGTAGAGAACAAGAGGCAAGCAAAGTGGACGGGTAATAAAAACAGCAAAGCACAACAACAGTCAAGAAAAGAAGAATGACGTTTCCAGAAAAAAAAAACTTTAAAATTCTCAAACAGCAAAAACTGTAAAGAAAATAAGAACTCAAACCAGCATGGTAGCACAAGCCTGTATATAATCCCAGCTACTCAGGGAGGCTGAGGCAGAAAGACTGCAAGTTTGAGGCTTGCCTAGCATATATGTGAGACCCAGGTTGGATCCCCAGTACTGCAAAAAAAAAAAGGGGAGTTAATTTAACCCCTTTAATTTTGTATCCCAAAAGTCAGGGTTAAATTAAACCCCCACTGTAAAGGAGAAGGCAGTAAGCAAGATGCTAGAAGGAAAGGGAGATTATAGTAGGAATGGGAGAAAAAGTGTTGAAACAGGCTGTCTCAAAAGTCCATAATGAAATGCAAGTACAAACACAAAATTTCAGGAGCTTCCCCGTGCCCCACACCAAAAGGTTCAAGAAATATACGACTGACAGTTTTTTCCTCTGAGCAAAAAAGCAGTCACTGTTACTTCCTAACTCACTGGACTTTCTTTTCAACAGAAGTTTTCTTTTTCCAACAGAGAAATGTACATTTTTGGTCATGTCCAGATTTGAAATATATACAATGTACATTACTCAGAGAAGCCATTTTGTTGTAGGATTTCACTATCATATGCACATGAACGACAGAACAAGCTCGTTTCAACATAATGGTTTGAATGGTAACTCAGTTTTTTAGTGCTTCAAATTATTAACTAATAAAAATGAGAAAGTGCAGCTATATTTGGTTTCTTCCTCTTTTCAAGGCAATCTGCTAAGATCAGAATTTGTTTTACTTAAAAACAAAAGTCAGCTCTTTGAAGACAAATAGTAAATCACGTGATTCAGAATGTAAGTGTAAGCAGAACAATTATTTATGATGAATACAATCAAGTTATACATAAAACCAATTGTTGCTTCAGATCCCTTGTGAAAGACAGGTGGAAGGAGGATAAGAAGGGGTCAGAGTATCATAATTAAACAAAAGACACTGAAATGGCTTAAAAAACTTACTTTCAGAATTTCATCCACACAGCTCACATCACCAGAAGCTGATGCCTTAAGAAAAAGAAATACACATGAAATTTGGAATAACTTAAAGATTTTTAGTATTTACTGCACAGATTTAAAAACTTTAGAAATGATACAAAATTTAAAGGTGTATAATCCGACTATTCTAAATCAGAACACTAGTTACAATATTTGAACTAATTTCTCTAAATATAAGCTTTATTTTTTATTTATTTATTTTAAAATTTTTATCTTTTTGAGACAGGGTCTCGCTATGCAGTTCAGGCTGATCTTGAGCTCACTTTGTAGCCCAGGCTGGCCTTGAACTCACAACGATCCTCCTGCCACAGCCTCCTGAGTGCTAAGATTACAGGCGTGCGCCACCACGCCTGGCTCTAAATATAAATTTTAATTACAAAACTGCATAGCTTGAAAACCTTAGCCGGGCATGGTGGTGCATGCCTGTAATCCCAGCATTTGGGAGGCTAAGGCAGGAGGATTGTTGCGAGTTTGAGCCCAGCCTTGGCTACAAAGTGAGCTCAAGGCCAGCCTGAACTGCATAGCAAGACCTGTCTCGAAAAAAGGAAAAGAAAATCTTGTATTTTTCAGAAGTTTAAAAATTCCCATCTTTTTTTATACTTTAAATAATTTTTAAAATGTAATTTTTCAGGTAATCATACTAATATATCTCATTTCATATGTACAGTAAAATGAGTATTACTGAAAGATTACTGATCTGGAACACGATGGACATTTTACACTCTTAAATCCCAGCCTTATTCTAAGGCACAAACAAGAATTAAAGAGCTAAATTCTGTTCTTTAAGAAGAATTAAAGAGCTTTACTGTTCTCTGGAGAGGAGTAATTAGATGACAAATGCAACTAATGTTGTTTCCCAAGGCCACAGGAAAGATTCTTAGATGTTCTGGAAACAGTGCTTTACGTATTCCTGATTACTCCTCACAATTTTGAACCATGAGTTTTGATTTTTGGCTACTAACATTGTTTTTTGAATTTTTCATTGTACAAACTACATTAAAAGATACAATTTCAACTACTGTACAATGATTGCTTACTTTATTTCAAATACTGTTTTAATATGCAGTTATACTAGCTGTCTCAATACTTTTCGTATAACTAAGAAAAGGATGATAGCATCCAAATGACACACACTGCCATGGACCCAAAGATCCCAACCATCACCACAAGAACTATGGCCCACACCTTATTCATGAGATTACTGTAAGAACAGAGAAGTTAGTTTTCTTTTTAAACTTTAGAGGAGAAAAACTAAAGTACTAATGGGTCATACTTTTATTCCATAACTGACTTGCCATTTTAATATTTAAATGTTAAATGAATGACATCTTCTTTCTTTTCCCAGAACTGGAGCTCACAGCCTTATGAATCCACTTGAGAGTCAAGTCTTTTTTAAACCACCCCCCTCATCTTAAACTTTTATATTCTTTACTATTAATACAAAAACGAAGTTTAAATTCATATTTCCATGATCAATTATTTCACATAGTCACAATGTTTAAAAAGCTCTAGATGTGCAACTTACATCCAATGGCTGGGAAGGTATTTTCAACTTGGTGAGATGTGCTTTGCTGCTGGGCTTCAGCTCAGTCATACTGTTGCCATGAGACTGGCTGCTATAATGCTCAGAGGACAGCTTTGGTTCCATGGACTCCTGCCCATCCATGGGCCGCACATAGGCAGTGGGCTTCTGTAACATTGAACTGGATTTTGATATCAACGAAGGTGGGAAAGACTGATTTGAGTGTTGCCCACTTGAAAAAGGTACACGGGAAGGAGAATCCCAATTGGCATCAGGGTCTCGAGGTGATTTGGATCGCTGATGTTCCTTGCCATGGTGATCACTCCCATGAGATCTGGAATGACTAGAGCTTAATGAAGAAACAGCCTGGGGTTTTCCAGGGCTAGAAGATCGTGATTTGGAGTGTTCTGATCCATGCTGGCCTTTTTTCCGGCTGCTGCCATATGAGTCACGATCATGCCTCTGGCCAGTGCTGTTAGTGCTGCTACTGCTTGCACTGGTCCTCTGGCTACTATGTCCACTCTGTAAGCCTGAGGACCGCTTCTGAGACTGAGAAGGGCCCGGTGCAGGTCCTACAGGGGTCCATTTGCTACTCTGATGAGAGTTTCCATGTCTCTGTTCAAAGAAATTTGGCTTTGATTTTTCATCATCTGTTGTTGGTATTGCAGGCTTGGGAATTGCAACAAGCTTTGGTATAGCTCTGTCTCCTATGAAATCCTTCATTTCTTCGTAGTTTCCAAGCATACTCTGAATACGACTTGATAACTTATCTTCTTTGCTAGTCTACAAAAAAGGCAGAATAAAATTACTCTATTAGCATAATCAGAAACGAGATGATTCTGGCTAACCTTCAAATGTAAAGGGGCTTTTCTAAGGTAGTCTTTTTTTTGTTTGTTTGTTTGTTTTCCAGTACCAGGAATCAAACTCACAACCTTGTGCTTGCCAGGCAGGTGCTGTGCCACTGAGCTAAATCCCCAGCCCTCTAAGGTAGTCTTCATCTGATATCTTAAAGTTATTATCTATATGCAATCTCTAAATATATAATTTTCATGGTGAAAAAAATTCACCAAAATTATCTGAAAATAACCATGGTAAAATACAAATATGGTATAGGACACTAAGAAACATACTGGTTCCAGGCCAGGAAAAAAAATCCAAATTTCACCAATAAAAATTCTGGACCAACAGTAAACGTCTTTCGAAGAACAGAAAAAGTATTCTGGCCAGGCCACGGTGGTGTCTGCCTGTAACCCCAGCCTGTAACTCAGGAGGCTAAGGCAGGACCACTGAGTCCAAGGCCAGCCTGGGCTACATAGTGAGTTCTAGGCCAGCCTGAACTGTATAGTGAAACCCTGTCTGAGAAAGACAAAAAAAAAAAAGATAGATAGAAAAGTAGTCTGCCACTACGTAATTAAATTCCAGACCAGTAGATTAGCTAACATTCATATTTCGAATACTCTATAAAAGTACTATGTCCCTTATAATTCAATGATATAGTTAGGAACAAAAACAGAAACTTAGTGAAACAAGTTATACCCAATTGTTTAATTTTAATTCCTTCTGCTATTGTGACTCACCAGTTAATAAACATCTCAAAAAATAATTAAGCATGGAAAACTCACTGATGAAATTTTAAATCCTAGCTATTAACTCTGACCAATTATCTCTTGATTACTTTTAAAGTTAATACTTTAAGTTTCAAAAATTATTTTTATAAATAAGATCCAAAACATCTGTAAGCATTAGGACTCTTCTATAGCCATTTGTATGGAAATTTACTAATTAAAAAAAATAAAAACTGAACTATCATTACTTTGAGATTAGCAAATACCAATATTGATTTTAAATCGTTCAAAAATTCTGCCCAAGAGAGCTATTACAGACGATATCACTATCAGAAAACAAATCCAATTCATTACAGTGTAATTACAAAATAAATGGTAGCAAAGTTCAAAGATTCTGGGGAAAACTTTTTTTCCCAGTTTCTTTTTAATCTCTAATTAAATCCTCAACCCTAAATTCTTAATCCCAGATCTTGCATTACATTCACATAGATTAGTATGATTGCCTTTAAACTGGAAAATTCTTAAAAGATCTACATAAATGGCTTTAATAGGGCACACCATAGCTGGGCATGGTGCTGTATGCCTGTAATCCCAGCACTAGGGAGGCTGAGGCAGGAGGATCACTGAAGTTTGAGGCCAGCCTGGCCTACACAGCAAACTCAAGACCAGCCTGAACTACACAGTGAGATCCTGTCTCACACATACACACAAAAGAAATCTCTTCCACACACACACATAAATGCATGAGAAGGGAAGGAAAATCAAGAGAATTTAGTCTATGATAACAGAAGTAGAAGCCAACTGATACTGAAGATACTTTACTCAAAGATAAAAAAAGTTAATGAAACCTACAGTAAACTATGCAAATGGCAAGAAATATGGAGAAGTATCTACAAAATCATCATTGCTGACTGATGTAACAGCCAAAGAACACCTAGGAAGTAACTAAAGGCTTTAAAGGTGAAATGTCTTTCGAGTGCACCACCAGCAGTACAGAAATGAATGTCTGAGCCAATTCAGATCTCAGTTTTAAGAGTATAGGACAGCAATGAGGGAGGGCTCAAGAAAGACTTCCAAAGTGTTTTTGACATTCTACTTCTTAAACCGAGTACTGACTTTCTGAGGTTGTTCCTGTAGTTAAACATTACTCTTCAAGCAATAACAACTTACTTTGTGTAGTTTTATATGTGCCCATTTCCCAAAAAAAACTTGCCAAAAAAAGTACATTCTTTTTAGAGGAAAAGAAAAAATTGTGTTCATGATCATTTTCTTAAGATAGAAAATGAAAATCAAAACACATATTAAAAGCAAAAATATCACATTAATGGAAAAAACTCAAAGAAGGACAACTTACAACTTTGTATGGCTCAGCAAAGAGAGGAGAGCTAGGTGGGAAGGCGTCTTCACCCTGCTGAATTTCCTGATTCCGCCTTTCCCTTTCTTTCATACGCAGCACATTCCGGTCTTCAAGATTCATGTTGCTATGAAGAGAAATAGAATCTTTGTATCACACAAAAAAAGGAAAAGTTAAATCATCTCTATTAATTTTGTCAGTTTAATACTTGAGTCAGATTGCCTTCCAAGTAATAATAGGTGTTAGTGCTTAAGTTGGCTTTTGGTAATGGTTTTTAAATTAAGTAATACCAATAGAGTCTTCTACAACTACACAGAAAAAAAAAAAACTAGTCCAGAATACTAGAACCCACTCCCCAACTGAAACATTTAATCTTATCTAGTTTTTTTTTTTTTTTTGGGTTTTTCTCCGGTACCGGGAACCAAACTCACGACCTTGCGCTTGCCAGGCAGGCGCTTTGCCGCTGAGCTCAATCCCCAGCCCCTTTATCTAGTTTTTTTTTTTAAAAAAATTTTTGTAGTGTATGGTAGACAAGTACTCTACCACTGAGCTATACCCCTAGTCCAACCTTATCAGCTGTGTGTATATGTGTGGTGTTACTGGGAACTGAAATTGGGGAAGCCTTACCAGTGAGCTACATCCCAAGCCCCACTCTTTATTATTTTAAGGTAGGGTCTCCCTAAATTGCCTGTGATCCACCTCTGCCTCCTGAGTAGCTGGGATTATAGGAATGAGTTCATCAATTTTTAAAGTCTTCTGCTAACTAAAAGTTAGCTAAAATTTTACCTTCAGAGGCAAAGTAGTACTTAAAGAACCCCAGTATCAGCTGAGTATGGTGGCACATGTCTGTAATCCCAGCATTTGGGAGGCTGAGGCAGGAGGATCGTTGTGAGACCAGCCTAGACTACAAAGTGAGCTCAAGGCCAGCCTGAATTGCACAGCAAGACCCTGTCTCAGAAAGACAAAAGAAAAAGAAAAAAAAAAAAAAAAAAGAACCCCATAAACTCTTCCTGCTTCCACTACAAAAATCTACTTATTCTTTGCCCCATGAGACACACAAAACTATTCCCACTTGCTCACCCTCCTCCTTGGTCCAGTTCTTTTTCTTTAATTTAGATCACCCTTATCTCGATTTCTTTTTGTCCCAAATGTAACTTCCTTGATGTCCACCCTTATGACAGTTTGACCTCAGCTTTGGTGATGCTTTAAGTTTCCTTAAAAATTTGTATTTTTCTCTAAATATATTAATATTTCAATCAATAATAATCAATAACTCAGTAAATGTGAGGTATTCAGTGACAGAAACTAGTATTAACTTGTATTAACAATTTAGCTAAAATGGCCAGGGATATCGCTCAGCAGCACAAGTGCCTGCCTGGCAAGCGCAAGGTCCTGAGTTCGATTCCCGATACCAAAAACAAAACCATTTAGCTAAGAATTGTACTGAAAAACTTTTGAGGTGAGGGAAAAATCCAAGTGTAATTTCCACAATCATGAAAATATGAGTGTCATTTCTATAATCATTGTGTTTTCACTAGCAAAAAATCAAGGGAAACAGCAGCTTTTTTACTTATAGCAGCAAAGATTTTGGTTAAACAAACAATGATGAAAAAGTTGTCAAGGGGCTGGGGATTTAGCTCAGCGGTACAGCACCTGCCTTGCAAGCGCAACGTCGTGAGGTCGATTCCCGGTACCGGGGGGGTGGGGGGGAGTTGTCAAATCCTGGGGATTATTATCATCTGCAACATTTTCCCATACAGGCAGATTAAATCATCTGTTTGGACTGTGTTTAAAAAAAAAAGAAGTCCTACTGCAGACCAAAAGGAAAAATCAAATTATACTTAGGTATCATTTCTAGCCTACAATCGTAAACCAAATCAAAAAATTAAAGTCAATCATGCTGGGTCTGGTGGCACACACATATAATCCCACCACTCAGTAAACTGAGGCAAGAGGATCACTTCAAGTTCGAGGCCAGCCTGGACTACATAGTGAGTTCAAGGCCAGCCTGAGCTACATAGTGAGACCCTGTCTCAAAGACAAACAAAAAGACCAGCCAAATTAAGAGGAAGACACTGTCTCAAAAGGCAGAGAGGGAAGGGAAGGAGAAGCAGAAGCAAAAGCAGATGGGGAGGGGAAGGGAAGAAAAAGAAAGAGGGAGACTCACTCTGTAATTCGAACTGGCCTTGAACACACTAGGTAGTGCAGGCTAGCCTCAAACTCACAGCAATCCTCCTGCTTCCGCCTCCCAAGTGTTGGGATAACAGGTGTGTACTACAAGATAACCACAATTATAAAAGTAGAATGGGCAGCAAAATCAACATACTTCTGAGGACCCTATCAGCAATTCAAACAGTGAAAGCAAATACCCAAAATAAAAAAATTCCTGATTTGCATAATTTAGTATCATGCAATTAAACCAATTTAATGATAAGGGGAGGAGAATGTTTTAAGTGTTTCTGATACATAGTTAAGTGTTTTCTTATTTGCATGATATTCTAATAAACTTATATAAGAATATAACCTATTTCAGGTATACAAGGTGATTTCTTTGGTTTTCTTAGCAGTCAGCACCCTAAAATCAAAACCACAAAAAATACCTAAATCTGCTGGGCATGGTGTATGCACACCTGTAATCCCAGGACTCAGGAGGCTGAGGCAGGATTGCTGTGAGTTCAAGGCCAGCCTGGGCTACACAACTGAGTTTGAGGCCAGACTGCAATACACAGTGAGACCCTATCTCAAAAAAAAAAAAAAACAAGGGGGCTGGGGATTTAGCTCAGCGGCACAGTGCCTGCCTGGCAAGCGCGAGGTCATGAGTTAGATTCCCAGTACCAGAAAAAAACCAAAAAAACAAAACAAAAAAAAGGGCCAAGGACACAGCTCAGCAGCACAGGGCCTGCCTGGCAAATGCCAGGTCATGAGTTCAATTCCCGGTACCAAAAAAAAAAAAGAGTAACAGAAAGTATCTAAATCTGTCTCTCATAAATATTGTAAAACATCTATACTGAAGTACTTTCTTTTTTCAGACAGGTTCTTACCACGCAGCCCAGGCTGGCCTTGAACTCAGTGAATGATCTTCTTGCCTCAGTCTCCCATAGGCTGGGATTACAGGTATGCGTCACCATGCCCAACCTATACTTAAATATTCAGAGACTAAAACCGAAGAATATCATACAGCACATTTAGGCTGATTAATAAATTTTTTGTTACTTTTTGTTATTTCAATTAAGCCTGCTGAACTATGGTCCTGCCAATCTATTATAAAGTTATGAATAGTCTAAGGGTCGTGCTAACTACCAGTTTCCTTAAATTGCCTAAATTTAAATCCTGAAAGCTCAGGCTGGGAATACAGCAGAGTGGCAGAATGAAGTGCTTAAAGCCCTGGGTTCAGTTCCCACCCCCCACACACACACACACACACGAACAATACAGTATATGATTTAATGTTATGCATTCAGCAGTGTTAAATAATTATTCAAGAAGTATTTGTATGAGCCAGGCATTGTGCCTGTGGTCCCAGCTACTTTGGGACTAAGGCAGGAGGACTGCTTCTTGAATCTACAAGTTGACTGCCAGCCAAGGATTGACCAAGAAAAAAATGGAAGGACAGAAGGCAAAAAGAGAGGGAAGGAAAGAAAAGGAAGGAGAGGAAGATAGGAAAGGAAATGAGGAATTAATTATGTATTTGTTGGAAAAACAGATTATAATAAAATTCCTTCTATGATTTAATGCTGAAGATATTTTGTTTCTTTTTGTGAGTAATGAAAACTATCCGACTGAAATTTCCTTTTAATAAGGCTGGCAGAAAGCTCAAACATAATTAACTGCTTCTAAAAATATCCCACTTGTAGCTAGCTCTTATACTCTATTTTTGTGATCTGACTTACTTTTGTATCAAACTTAACAGACTTTTTTCTTCCTATGTCTCTGATCATCAATCTATTTCTGCCTAAAATAGTTTTCCTCCAAACCAGTAATATGCATTCCACTAAAATTTTCCTCCAAATCAGTAATATGCACTCCACTAAAATTAACATTAAATTTAAATGAGTCAATCCAAAGTATATCTTTGCTGTCCAAGCAAAACTGTTTTGCAGCATATCCCTCCAGACATCTACAATTATTACCACAACAGGATTCAGTTAAAATTAGTTAACTGCTACATTACAAGAAAATATGTGGGATGACCAAATTAAATATTTTTAAAAGAAAATTAGCAAGATGAAAGGAGAGCTATCTAAAACTTTACTTAATGTGAATTGTTTTAAGGACCCATGAAGTACTTATGTTAAACTAACACTGTACATTATAAACCATTCCCAGTGGACAAAAAAAAAAAAAAAAAAAAAAAAACCAGAAATCTTCAACTTTGTAGATTTGGTGCTGGTGGTAACGCAGTAGCAAATACACTGCTACCAATAGAGGAAATGAGAAGTGAAGTGAATGAGAGACCAACGATCTTACTACAAAAGAAGAAAAATACAAACATCACATAAAATGAGAAAAACTAAGAAGGAGCTTATGTTATGTGTGTATACAATTTTAGCTCTATCTACTCAGACTGTCTAGGTGGCAAACCCCTGGCACAAGTGCCACAGCAGGCCATCACCATCCCTGGTATGGAAGCAGGGGCACTCAGCAGGAAGGAGGAACTCCAGCATGGGCAGTCTGCTCGCTAATGTCCTATGAAGGGTGAGTGGGGACCTGGAGAAACAGCTGATTCCAGACTGCAGCAGGGAAGGAAGGTACAAAGTGAACCTGAATCATTTTGTGACGGCTGAGAATGCTCAAAGCACGAGGAAAATATCAATCAAAATGGCACAGTAAGCCTTAACGAGGCTCGCTCTCCTCACGTTTTAAAACATTCTGAGCACAAAATGAACAATGACAAGAATGGAAGATTAAAAAAAAAGAATCCCTGAGAACATAACAATAAAGAGAAATTAAGCAAGAAAGAAAGGGCCTTATTTTTATCAGTGTGACAACTAACAAATGTAGAAGAAACAAAAAAATTAGGAAGTCACCTATAAGCAATCACTGTAGCAGTCACTGAGGCAAGAGTTATGAATGAATGCTGACATTGGGTGAAAAATTTAGGAAAAATATGATATTCAGTACTACCCC